CCAGTGCACTGGGCAGGTTTGATGGTCCCACGGCTTATTATGGCACAGGTTCCATTCGATTTTGACTGCCACGGCCTGAATGGGGAAACAAACAACACATCAGGCACTGACATGTACTTTCTACAAACCCTGCTGAGGCAGCTGTGGCTGATGAAAACTGTCTTTTGTACACTGGCAGAGGAGGGGTTGGATGCTGCAGTCAAAGGGGGATCCCCCAGTCCTCCCCTACTGATTTCACAGGCTGAAGGCTCAGCTGATGCATCCCTGCACTTCCTTGGGCAGACAGAGAAACGCTGTAAAAGGTTTGCAGTGCTTGTGACACCCCTTTAGCCTCCCCACTGTCAGCTTTGCTGCTGGGGGTTGTTCATGCCTGCAGAGGGGAGAGCCAGGTCCTTCCTGAAGACACACGGATGGCCAGAGGAGCTGGCCTGAGCCCTGGTCTGCTCTGGGCACAGCTCCCATGGCAGGGCAGAGGATGGAGGGCCAGGTACCCAGAACCTGGCCAGACAGGTTCGTTCCTCCCCAGTGCTCTCAGACACTGCAAGAGGAAGCGGCAGCGAGCTGAAGAGGTGGTGCACGTGGCAGGGAGGAGCCCAGGATTCTCCACAGACAGGAAGGCTGTGATCTCCCTTTGATCTCCCTTTGGAGAGGAATCAAGAAGGCATGTGGGAGATAGACATGGTGCTCTAACACCTTGCCTAGGCCCCAAATAAAATTTGGCGTTTCTTCTGTCCACTCTTGCTGCCTCCTGCTCCTCATGCCCTGCATTTTACGCACCCCCTAGTCTTGGCTTTCCATTTGCGTGTCCTCTGAGCACCTCATCACACCACTGCAGCCACCTTCCCTCAGTTCCTGCTGCTCTGATGCTCTTTGTTTCCAGGGCCTGGAACTGGGTACTGGTGGGATTTAAAATGCTTCCTAGAGCCATGCCAGAGGAGGGGAGTTTTGGGAAGAGGCAGTGCTGCCAGGTACCTTTCGTAAAGGGAGCCATCCACCCAGAACCAGGCCTCCGAGGCCCCCTCGCCCTCTGGGTCCTCTTCCTCCAGCCAGCCATAGTCATACCAGGGAAAACTGCCCTTCTGCAATCCAATCCAGTATGGGACATCAGCGTTCTTCAGGAAGGTCTGCAGAAGAAGAAAAAGTGCTTTTCCACATTTTATTCCATGGCACCCATGTACTGCAGTACTATATACTTCACAGCAGGGTGATCATCTCCCAAGGAGCCCCTGGGGCTGGAGCTTCTTGAGCCATGGTGCCCTGCTCCAGCTTGGGAAACATCCAAGGCTGCCAGAGCTTTTCTATCCCATGTCAACCACCATGTGCTCCAGAGAACAGCCTTGCACCCTCCAATGTTTTGGCGGGACAGGGGGCCCCCAGAACTGTGCTAGCCCATCTGGGGACCTCATGGCTGGGTATGAGTACACCATCTCCTGCCCTCAGCTCCCCCAGCACCCTACCGGCACAGTCCAACGACTCCAGGATTTGGTGACCAGGAGCTGAGAATATGTCTTCTCACACTCATCTCTGCTGTCTTCCCATGTCTTCTTCTCCGAGGAGATGAAGAGGCACTTGCCCCTGTACAGCATCCAGCCCGAAGGGCAGCAATCTGTGGGTAGGGGCACAGCTGAGGGGTTTGCTCAGCCACAGAAGCCCTGAGGGGTAAGAAGGAACAGTCCCACACCTTCCCAGCAGACATCACAGGCTCAGTGTCTGCTCCAGGCATTGCTTCAGCCTTTGGACCACCCTGTCCCCGCCATGTGGTGAAAAAAGCCAGTACTTGGCCCTTGGCACGGGCTGAGCGGTGCCAGTTGGCTGGAGCACCCCCTCCCTGCTCCATCACCACCCTACCTATAGCTGTGCAGGAGCGCAGGAGGGCCACGGTGCTCTCGCTGGTGTTGAGCCTCCCCTGCACCTCCTGCATCTCCCTCTCTGTCCGGCCCAGGGCCGCCGTGACACGGCGCAGCTCCGTGCTCAGCCTGTCCAGCTCCAGATGGCTGACGTTGCCCTGGCTCCACGCTCGCTGCAGCTCTTCCCTGGCCCATGCCAGCTCCAGCTGTGCCTGCTCCAGGCTCTGCTCCTGCGCCCTCAGCTCCTGCGACAGGCGGCCCTGCTGGGCTGTGTGCTCACGGGAGGAGTCCTGCAGGCTGCGGGTGACCTGCCAGTCTGGGGACAGGGTAGGGGACAGCTGGACATGAGCATGGGACAGTTCGGATGTGGGACTGACCCTGCTCAAGGCAGGTGGGATGGGCAGGGCAAGGCAGGGAATTATCCATGATGAATGGGAAAGATGGGAGGGAAGGACACAGCAGGGAAGTGTACGGTTAGAGGTTGGGCAGGATCTGGCAGGCGAGAGCAGGACAAGGCAGGATGGGGCATAGGAGCAGACACAGCAGGTTAAGGGCAGGGAAGGTGCAGCCATGAGGCTGGGCAATGCCAGGATGGGAAAGAAAAGGAGCAGAAATGGAAAGCAAGGTGAGGAAGAGGGATGATGTGAGGCAAAGGAGGTGCTCAGGATGTGCGATGGATGTAGGCCAGCTTGTGGCAGACGGGGCACAGGGACTCAGCAGTGAGTGTGCAGGAGCATGCCTCTATTCACCCACAGTGCCCACCCCAGCCAGATGCCTCCTGACCCAGCCACTCCCTGCCCCAGATGTTCACAGTCCCCCAACTCACAGCAAGCCCCCAGGGCCACAGTGGCCACCAGCAGCAGGCAAGTTGTCAGCAGACCCACAGGGACGCACCACCGATGGGAAGAGCGCCCTGCACGACACAACAGGCAAGAGACATCACCTGAAGAGCTGGAAAACCCCTGACAGCACCCAGACCTCCTTCCTGGATACAGGCAGGAGAATGGTGGCATGACAGCACAGGTGGCATGGTGTGGGTGATGGGAGTGGGAGGACCCCAAAACCTCACCCATGACCCACCCCAGAACCACCCTGGGTCTGCTGGAATCCAGCTGGATACTCACCTGGGCTGGGCTCTGCTCCATCGCCCTCCTGCCCCGCCAGTGCCGGCTGCGTGTTGTCATAGGGGCTCTCTGCCTCATTCATGCCAAAGGCTGTTGGAGGAAAGCAGGGGAGAGCAGCTGAGGCCATGGGGTCGGGCATGGCAGGGGCAGCGTGGCGGGGCCTGTGGGCTCTCACCTTCCTCCAGTGCCTGGCTGGCCATGCTCCGGCCCCCCATCACTTTGGCAAATCTCAGGTCAGCATAAAGCTGGGCCATGTGGGCAAGCCCTGAGCCTCGCTGGCTCCCACTCCGCCCTTGGGATGCCTTTCTGAGGTGTCCCTGCTGTCGGTGACTGCGCCGTCTCTCAGAGGTGCAAAGGAGAAGTGCAGCCAGCATCTGCAGAAGCAGAAGTTTGCTCTGCACTGTAGCAGATGGGACTAGTGAGGCACGGCTGCGGGGACCAGCCCCCTCTCACTGGTCCCAGAAACATCAGCCCGTCCCCTCCCACGCCCTAGAAGTGCTCATGGTCCCCCCAGGCACAGGGCAGGGTGAGGGCAGCACAGCCAGCTGTCACAGCAGTGGCACAGCAAAGGATGGACCCAAATCTGTGCACTACGGGGCAGAGCAGGGCAATCCTGAATACAGGAGCAGATTGCCATGTGGACAGCTCTGTGGAGGGCTGGAGATCTTCACAGAGAGAGATTTCCCCTGCCAGCCTCTGAGAATGGGAATTTCCCCATGATGTATTTTGTTCCACTACCTCTCATCCCCTCCCTGGTCCCCTCCAAAGAAGACCCCAGCTTTGGCATTGTTCCAAAACAGCCCCAGAGAGTTACAAAAATCAGTTATGTCCCCTTTGCCTTCCCTTCCCAAGAGCACAGTCCCAGAATTCACAACACCTTCTTGTTCCCTCCATCCCAGAGAGTTACAAAAATCAGTGATGTCCCCTTTGCTTTCCCTTCCCAAGAGCACAATCCCAGAATTCACAACACCTTCTTGTTCCCTCCAGGCCCTCAGTGTCTCAGAGGTCTCCGCTGAACTGCATCCAGAGAAGTGCAGGTTTCAGAAGGAATGCTCCAAAGCTTCCCCCTGTTTCCCATTGCCTCCCACTGCCTCCTACTCTGTTCCACTGCCTTGCCATTGCCTCCCACTGTCTTCCAGATGGTCAGATGGGCACATCTGAACACAGCCAGTCCCTGGGACAGCACTGGAGGTGCACGGTGGTGCTGCTGGAGCACAGTGTCCATCGTCTGTGCAAGAGCAAGGGAAGTTCTTCCTCAGTGGAGAAAGGCAAAAATCAAAGCCAGCTTCAAAGGGGACAGGAAGAAAGTTTAGAAAGCTAAAAGCTGGGCAGCCTCTACTCAACCTCCTGGAAGAAAATGGAGCATGTCTGCCTGGGCATGCAGGGGCTCAGACCCAGGGAGGATGCACAGGGGAAAGGCCAGTGGGATTTACTGGGTGACTGCTCAATGTACCTCCTACTGCTTGGAAGCACTAGCCTGGAGAGCAACGGGGCAATTTATCATGACCCTTTGGGGTCTGGGATGTGGTTTTCCCTAGTGTATTTGGTGGCAGAGTAAAGAGATGTGGCCATGATGAGAGGAGAAGTGAAAGCTCATGCTGCAATGTGGAAGTCTCTTTTAGGCATTAAGGCAGTGATGCTCAGATCCTGGAGCAGAGCACCAAGGAGAGGGAACCTCCATCCTGGATGGAGTCAGCAGCAGAGCTACCTGTTCCCAGCTACCTGTTCCAGACCTGCTCTACCCTGCCCTAGGAAATCTGATGAATTCTCTGTAGGCTGAGCCCTACAGCTCTGTCCCAGGCTCCAGCCCCAAGCTGCACCACCCCAATGCCATCCCAGGGGACACTGAGCAATTTCGGGGGGTGGAGGGGAGCGAAATGGTGGTGCCTGGCCAATGGCAGGATGCCGCTGCCGCGGCCGTACTTCCCCCTCCGTCGCACCTCACCACACTTCTGCTTCTGCAGAAACCAGCTGCATTTTCCCTTTGAAGCGGAGCAGAGCCCGCAGGGCCATCGTGGCCGCCCGGGGCATGGCCCAGAGTGTGGTCTACGCCGACCTGAAGTTCGCGGCGCGGCCCCCATCCACCGTGCCCGACGACGATGACAGCCCGTACGAGAACGTGCCGCTGGGGCCGGTGGCAGCCGCGCCCAGCCCAGGTGGGAACGGGCAGCAGCCGCCGGGGAGGCCCCGGGGCAGGGGGTGGCAGGGGAGCACGGGGTGATGCCCGCGGGCTGATGCCCACCGGGTGATGCCCACCGGGTGATGCCCACGGGGTGATGCCCACGGGGTGATGCCCACCGGGTGATGCCCGAGGGGTGATGCCCGAGTGATAATGCCCGCAGGGTGATGCCCACGGGGTGATGCCCACCGGGTGATGCCCGCGGGGTGATGCCCGAGGGGTGATGCCCGAGTGATAATGCCCGCAGGGTGATGCCCACCGGGTGATGCCCGCAGGGTGATGCCCGCGGGGTGATGCCCGAGGGGTGATGCCCGAGTGATAATGCCCACGGGGTGATGCCTGCGGCCTGCCTCTCTTGCAGGGCGCTGGAGCCGGCGATGGCACATCCCCACGGCGCTGCTCTTAGCCACCCTGCTGCTGCTGCTGCTGCTGCTGGTGGCCGTCGTGGCCCTGGGGGCTTGCCGTGAGTCGGTGCTGCCGCGGGTGGGGGCAGCCGGGAGGGCGGCACCAGGAGCGGGCGTCGGGCTGGGCGAGGGGCTGGCTGCGGGGGCTGTCAGGGAGGGGGCGTGCCTGGGGCTGGGGTCCAGGGCTCTTGCATGGCCTCCACGAGCTGCCTCCCACTGCCTTTCCCCCTGCCTTTCCCACTGCCTTTCCCTCTGCCTCCCACTATCTACCCTTGTTTCCCCTCATCTTTTCCACTGCCTTCCATTGCCTTCCCACTGTCTCCCACCCCTTGCCATGGTCTTTCCTCTGCTCCCACTACCTGCCAATCCCTCCCACTGCCTCCCACGGTCTTCTCTCTGCCCAGACACTGCCATCTCACTGCCCTCCACTGCTTCCCAATCCCTCCCTCCAGGGCTCTTCCATGGCCTCCACGAGCTGCCTCCCACTGCCTTTCCCCCTGCCTTTCCCACTGCCTTTCCCTCTGCCTCCCACTATCTACCCTTGTTTCCCCTCATCTTTTCCACTGCCTTCCATTGCCTTCCCACTGTCTCCCACCCCTTGCCATGGTCTTTCCTCTGCTCCCACTACCTGCCAATCCCTCCCACTGCCTCCCACGGTCTTCTCTCTGCCCAGACACTGCCATCTCACTGCCCTCCACTGCTTCCCAATCCCTCCCACTGCCTCCAACTCTTTATCACAGCCCCCCATTTCCTCCCACTGTCTTCCCACTTACCACCATTGCCAACCATTGCCTCCCTTTTCCTCCCACTGTCTTCTACTTCTTCCCATTGCCTCCTAATCCTTCTGACTGTCTTCCCATCACTGTCTCCCATTCCCTCCTACTGACTTCCCACTGTCTTACATTTCCTCCCACTTCCTTCCACTTCCTCCCACTGCCTCACATTGCCTCTCCATTTTATTCCCACCACCTCATGCTGCCTGCCCACTGCTTCCCACTGCTTCCGTTTTCCTTCCCATTTTCTTCCAACTGTCTTCCATTGCTTCCCATTGCCCCCCAAACCCTCCCATTGCTTCCCATTGCCTCCCACTCCCTTCCACTGCCTTCCCATTGCCTCCCACTGCCTTCCACAGCCTTCTCATTGACTCTCCTTGTCTTCCCACTGTCTCTCACTGCCTTCCAATGTCTCCCCTCCACTTCCCACCATTGGAGCTTCCATTCCCTTCCCACTGGCACTCCCAGGACAATCTCCACCCACAGCCAGATACTCTTATCCTACTCTCCCTTGCAAGAGGCATGCCCCAGGCAGGGTTCCATGCTCAAGTCCAGCTCACCCGCCCTGTCCCCAGACTGGCAGGTCACCCGCAGCCTGCAGGACTCCTCCCGTGAGCACACAGCCCAGCAGGGCCGCCTGTCGCAGGAGCTGAGGGCGCAGGAGCAGAGCCTGGAGCAGGCACAGCTGGAGCTGGCATGGGCCAGGAAAGAGCTGCAGCGAGCGTGGCGCCAGAGCAACGTCAGCCAGCTGGAGCTGAAAAGCAGGAATGCTGAGCTGGGGCATACCCAGCAGGAGCTGGCTGCGTTGCAGGAGAAGATGCAGGTGGTGCAGGGGAGGCTCAACACCAGCGAGAGAACTGTGAGCAGCCTGCGTGCCTGCGTGAACACAGGTAGAGCGTGACGGGCTTGGGGCACTGCTGATGTTGCTGCTGCAAGGTGCGGGGGATGAACTCAGCCAGGCTGAGCTCCCCAAGCATCCATAGAAGGATGAGCACCTGAGTCGTGCCCCTGCCTTCAGAATGCTGCCCCTGGGGCTGGGTGCTCTTCAAGAGCAAGTGTCTCTACATCTCGGCGACAAACAAGACCTGGGAGCAGAGCCAGGAAGACTGTGAAGGGAGATCTGCTCGACTGCTGGTCCAGGATGAGTGGACACCACTGACAGTGCCGGTACAGAGCAGCGGGGTGTGGTACCCCAGGAGGGTGGTGCTGGGCAGAGCCCCACGGGGCCAGCTGCAGCAGTATCTGTGGACATGCCAGGGTGACATCCTGGCAGTCTGGCAGGAGAAGCACAGCCAGTCCTGGGGCTCCTGGGCACCTGGCAAGTGCTGGTCACAAAGCAGGTGGTTGACAGCTTCTGTCCCCCCTAGAATTTTGTGCAGGCGTCTAAGGCACACTACTGGATTGGAGGAAGACCTTTTTATGCGGCAAGGAGATCTATGTGGAAGGACAGCAAACACCCTTCGTAAGTCCAGGAGTCCATGGCACAAGCACCTGCCCTTTTGCCATACTAGAAAGGTGCTGTTTCACCCTGTGACACCCCTCAATAAAAGGGTTGAGGGACTCCCACGAGCAGTGCCCCAAGGGAGGGGGTGAGGGTAGAGCCACGCTGTGGGGTGCAGTGCCAAATGTCCAAGTGGCAGAGGATAAGAGCAGGAGGAGGAATGTGACACTTCCTCAGGCTGATCCCTGTGCCAGGTGCCTTGCCTGCCCCAGCAGCACTGGGATCTATGGGAAGTGGTGTCTGTGGTGAGCAGGTTGTCACTGCTGACCTGAGATGTGCCCTCTTTCCTAGGAAACGCCACATTCCAGACTGCTGGTCACTAGTTGACGGGGAAATGTGGAATAAGCGGTGTGACAGTCCCAACCCGTGGATCTGCGAGAAATCCCCAAAGCTGAGCATAGCATCTGAGACTCAACCTCCTTTTTAGCCAAGGACTGAGTGCTGCCACCCCCACTCCATCCCTGGACTCAGGAACAGGGCCTGGGTGTGCACCTGAGACCCTGTCCCTGTCCCCGCTTTGCCTCAATTGCCTTGCAAAACTGCTGGGGAAAAGTGTCTCTATTTTAAAGCAAGGATTATGGAAAAGACACCTTATTCCCCTCTCCCACACTCATGCAAACATATATTATACTGCTTCGTACTGTGCCACTGCACATCCCTGTGTGCCCTGGCAAATGCAACTCCAGTGCAGAGCCCAGCTCTTACCTTCTTTGCTACCCCAAGGTGCCAGGGGAGCAGGATCTGCCACTTGCAGATAATTTTGGACCTGAGGGATGACACACTGATGTCCTCAACCTGTCCATTTTGGTGAGACCTGTGGATTTACAGCCTGTCCCTTCTCTCAGCATTGACAGCTCTCATCCTGCCCTTTCTTCTGCCTTCATCACCTGCCCAGGGCTTTGGGCTGGGTCCTGCCTGGAAAGGCTGCTGACAGTGGAGCCATCAGCATGAGGAAATACTGGGAAGCCCAGAGACCATATAGGAAATGGGGGAGTGCTGGGGAGATTTGAGAACATGGTGGATGAATGAGGAAACTCTAAAACCATGGGAGGAAAACAAGGGCAATGAAGAGCCCTAAGACTGTGGGAGGTGAATGTGGGAATCCTGAGACCATGGAAAGGGAGCACAGTGGAACTGCAAATGAGGGTGGTCCTGAACAATTGGAGGTGCACAGATAAGACAGTGGGAGAGAGGAAGGAGCACTAGGGAGGCTTGGGAGCATGGGGAAAAGGGGACACCCTTCCCACCAAGGGGGAAGGATCCCTAAGAATGTGGTGGAACGTTATCTGCCAAAGGAGGGTGATGAGAGACACCAGTCCAGGACCCAGGGTGACCCTCCCTGTCTCAGTCAGTGTTTCTGCAGAGAAGAGAATGTTTTGGCAGCCAGTTTGCTAAGCTGGACCTGAGGCAGCCAGCATGGCTTCACAGCCCCTGCCCAACCAAGCCTGTGGCCTTCTACAATGGAGTGATTGCATCTGTGAACAAGGGAAGGGCTACACCTGTCATCTGTCTGGGCTTCTGAAAAGCCTTCAGCACACCCCTCCTCTAAATCTGAGATAAGTGGATTCAATGGGTGAACTGTTCCTTGGGTAAGGCTGGACATCTCCATCTAGAAGATTGTGGTCAATGGCTCTGTGTCCTCTGGTGATCATGTTGGCCCTCAGGGATTCACCTTGGGACCAATGTTATTTTGTCAACAATGTGAACAGTGGGATCAAGTGCACCCTCAGCAAGTTTGCAGGTGACACCAAGCTGAGGTGGTTTGACACACCTGAAGGACAGGATGCCATCCAGAGGGGCCCAGACAAGCTCCAGGAGTGGCCCATGGCAACATCATGAGGTTTAACAAGGCCAAGAGCTGCTGCTGCACCTGGGCTGGGACAACCCCTAGTCGCAGCCCAGGCTGGGCATGAACAGCCCCAGAGCAGCCCTGCCCAGAAGGGCTTGGGGGTGCTGTGGGTGAGAGGCTGCACATGCCCCGGCCATGGCACTGCCAGCCCAGAGAGCCAAACGTGTCCTGGGCTGCATCCAGAGCCCCGTGGGCAGCAGGGCAGGGAGGGGATTCTGCCCCTCTGCTCTGCTCTGCTGAGACCCACCTGGAGCACTGCATCCAGAGCTGGGCTCCCAGCACAGGAGGGACAGGGACCTGCTGGAGTCAGCCCAGAGGAGGGCACCAGGATGATCAGAGGGATGGAGCACATATGCTGTGAAGAGAATTTGGATTGTTCAGCCTGGACAAGAGCAGGCTTCAGGGAAAACTTACTGTGGCCTCCCAGTACCAAAAACGGCTGCAGGAAATCTGGAGAGAGACTTTACACAAGGGCTTGCAGCAAAAGCACAAGAGGAAATTGCTTCAGACTGAGAGGGCAGCTCCTGGGAGAGCTTCCATAGAAGGAGGCTGGTGGAGCCAGCCCAGTGGCATGGCAAGGCTGGGACAGGATTGCAAGTCCCCTGCAGTCTCAAAGACTTGCTGTGTCTGGCTTGTCCTGGAGAGTCCAGATGTCCTCCCTGCTCCTGAGCTCTGGCCCCCACTGCCCACAGTGTCACAGCGTGTCACTGCGAGGACACGCTGCAGACCCCATCCAGCCTCTGCTCCGTGGTTTCCCTAGGCTGGTTCAGCATGGCTGCTTACTTGCCCTCTTGATATGTGTCTTCTCCTTTCTTCCCAGCTGCAGGATTTGCACTTTTACCCACTCCAGTATCAGCAGGCTCCTATCAAACCATTTCTCCAGGCCTCTCTGTACCCCAGTCCTGCCCTCCAGTATACACATTACTGGTTTGGTATTGCCCCCCAGCTGCCTGAGGCCACCCCCTACCCATCATCCAGTGCACTGATGAAGGCTCCAAGGAGCACAAACCACAGGATCAACCCTTCAGCAACTGCCAGGAGAACAAGGGCATTACTGACACCCACTGCAGCCCTCACACCATTCAGATTTTCCACCACATTCTTCTCCTCCTCTCCTGACCTCATATATCCCCACTTTGCCAGTGAGGAGACCATAGAAAACCAAGTCCCAGACCTGAAATGTTCATTGTAATGTCCCCCGTTGCTCTCCCCTTATGCACAGCCCATTGTTGCCACAGCAGCAGGCAGGTCAGACAGGCATTGCCTGCCCTTGGCCAATCCTGCCTGGCTTTCCCCATCCCATGCTCTGGATGGTCGCATGCCCAGGAGGTGTGCTACATCTTCTTCCTGGTATCAAGGCTGGACAACAAAGCTCAGCTCCGGACAGGTGACGTAGGAATAAGAAAGGACAAACAGGAGCCAGCAGCAAATAGTGGCAGAGGCAAAGGGCAGCCAGGAAAACTAAGAGAGTGCTCAAAGGGACAGCAATGACACCATCTTACCCACCTTCACCAAACCACCCCCGTGGAAGGCAGCAGAGGTGGGCTGGAAGGCTGGCACAGATGTCCCCTTGTTGAGGAACACCTCTGCTCCAGGCAGCTGGGCTTGCAAGGCACGGCTGGAGATGCAGATGGAAAAGCAGATTGAGCTTGGGGTGGGAGCCCGAGGCAAGAGCTGTGAACTGCCAACCTTTGGGATAGCAAAGGGCAGGAGGATGAGTGGTGCCAGACAGATAGAGAGACACAGCAGGAGCTGCTGACCTTTTGTATAATGAAGGAGGGAGGACAAAAGCAAGGTAGATGGACACAGAGAGGGGGCAGGAGAAGATGAGGAGGAGCAAGGCTTGAGCACAAGCAGACATTGAGGGGATAAAAGCCCAGGTGTTCCTTTGTTGGGAATCCCTCCTCAGAGGAACCATCTTGAGCTGTTTCTGGGTTACTGTGCTGTGAATAAATGGCTTTTTGGAATGAGACATCTGGGACTCTTCTGTGGGAAACCTGTGACAAGATGAGTGCCCACGGGCATGGTCCCACCACCATAGCCCAGCGCTCACCCTGTGCTGCGTATCCCTGTGGCAGTGAACCCAGGCTGGCCACTGTCAGCACCAGCCCCAGCAGCAGGTCCTTGTAGGGAATGTCATCCTCACTGGGGTCTGCAGGGAGCAGGGGGCAGCGAGCAGGGGCCTCAGCAAACTGCAGGCCAGCGTAGGCCCCACTCCGGGCCATGCAGGTGGCTCAGCAGCAGCAGTCCAGGAAGGAACCCAGCCCTGTCCTTCTCCACTGTGGTCAGGTGGCAGAGTGTGGCTAAGACCATACTGTGTGGAGACACATCTTCATACGCAGAAAAGCAGAAGTAGTTGCTTTATTTGCAAAAAGTGGGTTTTTTCCTGCATATGTTCTCCTTTTAGGGGGTGGGGTGCGAATGAGCTCCCTCCTGCTCAGCATCTTCTGTGTTCAGGTCCCCAGGTTGTGAAGAGCCCAAGCCCCTGGGTGCAGGCCACAGCAGGGATACCCTTCTCCATGCATCACATTCCTCCTCCCAGTCCTGCTCACGCTGACAGGCTGTACTGGCTGGGGGACTTGATCTTTTGCAAGGGAGGGAGTCCCAGCAAGGTCTGTGCCAGAGCTGCAGGCTGCTGGAGCAACCCAGTGGTCTATATCGAAACCGGAACAGCCTCTAGGACCAAACAACTCCAAATCAAGCCCTAGCAGGCCTTTTAGGCTCTCACACAGAACCCAGCCTCAAAACAAAGCGAGGATGTTTGCTGGAGCCTCTTCAGACTGGGCAGGCACCAGGAGACCAGCTGCTGCCCAGCCCAAATCCTCAGTGGGACTGCAGAGACAAAGGGTCACTCCCCAGCAGCACAACCCAAGAAGCAAAAGCCCCAGGCAACCACCACAATCAGAAAGCCCAGAGCTTCCATGGGACCTGTACCAGCCTGCACAGGAGCTGCAGCTGAACACTGCAGTTGGACAGTGGGGATGCCTGTATTCCTGCTGGCTCAATGCTGGCTCCTGGCCACAGGATGCAATTTCCCACTTGTAAGTGATGCCACTGAGTCTAAAAGCTGGAGGGTGCACCTCCATCCTACCCCCACATCCCAAATCCCGCTGCAGTTACTGTCAAAATTTATTGGCAAAGTGCAGAGTTCTGGAGGGTAAAGAGGGCCAGGAGGCAGCGGAGCCTGGGAATGTCCATGCACTGCGGCCAGGCAGGGAACAGGGTGGTGGCACAGGCTGGGTGTCACCATGGCCATCAGGGCCTCACACAGCTGTAGGTGGTGTTCCCCCAGAGGAAGGCAGGAGGCGAGGACTGGAGCCACTGCACGGTGGCTGCACTCTGCTTGCAGACCCATCTGAGGGCTTCTGTGCAGGCACCACCAAAAAGTCCCAAGCCTGACACCCTGCCACAGGCCTGGAAAGACCTGGTGTAGCGCTGGACTGGGAAGGTCCTGCAAGGGAGAGAGCGGGCTGAGATGGATGGGCAGGAAGAACTGAGACTGTCCCATCAGCAGCTCCGCAGCCAGGGATCAGGCACTGCACAGGGATGCTGTGGGGGCAAAGTTCACCCTCCCCATAGAGCACAGTCTCCTGTCAGCCTCCTCCCACTTCGGCCACATGCCCTGATGCCCCTACCCCATCACTCTCAAAGCACCCCCAGGTCAATCCTAGCAGGGCTCAGCACTGACCAAACTGGGATCCTGCTTTTGCAGAATCCCCTGCAGTCCCTCAACCAGGCGGAGTGTGGGCACCAGGACCAGTCCCCTGCTAAAAATGCCCCTTCCCTAAAATGCCCTTCTTCCTGGGGAGAAAAGAGATAGCTCAAAATGGGTCACATCCCCGCATGCCTGTCCCCACCACCACCCCGAGCCCTGATGATGGACCTTCAGCACACCTAGCTGGGAACAAGCTGATAGCCTCACCATTCCAGTGTGGTGCCGTCCAGCCACTTCCACTCAGACCTAAAGCCGTCCTGCTTCAGCCCCACGTGAAAGGCATCCATGTTAGCTGTGCGCACCAGGAAAGCCTAGCACAGGAGAGGACCCACATGAGCCCCCTGGGGGGACACCCAGCCCAGCCACACAGTTAGTGATGGGGGCTGTGCTGTATGGGCACAGCACTGCCAGCTGCCTCCCTGCCTGGAGGCTTTGCTAGGCTTTGGGCACATGGGCGGGAAGCTGAGACAATGCTGTGTGAGGGTGACTGCTGAGGGACCTGGGGTGGCCACCAGGACAGCCCAGGGCTCACAGGGAGTTGGTGGTGTGCACTCACCAGGGTGGTGTTGGCTTGGATGGTGACCAGCTGTGCCCCTCTGGAGCAGCAGTCCTCTCTGCTCTGCTCCCAGTTCTTTTTGGCAGAGGAGAAGTAGTAGCACTGCCCCGCATCCCAGAGCCAGCCGACTGGGCAAAACTGGCATTGCCCTGCACACCAGAAACACAGCAGTGGGATGGGGCAGCTGGCCAGGGCTGCCACCAGCCCCCAGCCCAAGGGACCAGGAGAGTGACAGCGGGCAGCCAGGGCACCGACTAACCCATCTGTTTGTGTGTCTGCCCCACAGAGACCACTCTGCATTCGGCCTCCTATGTGAGCCCAGCTCCAACTTTCCAGTCCCAGAGCCCTGGGAATAGGAGTTAGTTACAGGAACATGCTGACACTGAGTAGGGCAGGGAGATGCAGGTTTGAGGAGGTGATGCAAACACAGCTGACAAAGTGCTGGGGACTCAGATAAGGTTTCATCTGCACCAGAAGCTGATGTCATCTGGCACAGGGATGCTGCTGGGTGATGTGCCCAGGTAACACTGAGCTGTCTGGGGTCATCTCTTCTAAAGGGGTCTCAGCAGTTCAGCCTGTTCAGCAGTGCTGGAGCAGCTCTCCACACCAAAAGCTGGGGGACGGGCAGTAAAGATGAAGGAATATGTAGGGATAGAGCTCAGGGAAACATCCTTGACTAGGGACAAATCCTGCTGCTTGAAAGCAGCAGTAAGCCCTCTCCAAACCTTACCCAGGAGCCCACCAGGCTCTCTTACCTTCCTGTGTCTGCCTCCCATAGCTGGGGCTCTCCTCTATTTTCCAGAGGCCATCTGTGCAGCTTGTTTGTTGTTGCACTAGATCTACAGCAGAAGAGCACAGGTGTGTCCTAGCAACCCTGGGCTCCCGCTTCCAGCAGCACCCAGTGTCCTCTCCCACAGGACAGCCTCATGGCTGTGGGTGAGGTGTCCCCTGCTTTAGGTACACCAAGCCTGCCAAGGTCCTTGCAGATTTTGCACTGCTTGGGAGCCCTCCATGCAACAGGCTTTCGGGGAAGGCGCTGCTGTCTTTCAGTGTCAGCATCAGTGCCCTCCCTCACGCCTTTCTTTCACTGCCACCTGATGGAGTGGTTTTCCCCAAGCCCACGCTGTCGCCCCAGCTTCCTTTTCCAGCCACGTAGGTGGTGTCTGCCTCACCAATTTTCCTTGCTTGCCCCAGAACCCACCATGCCCTCAGCCCCAGGCAGAGGCGCCCAGACCCATGGGGAAGCTACAGCTCAGTCTGTTAGTACACAAGTGCTATGGTGCCAGCCCTGACCCAGGACCCCCTCTGCAGAGATGGCTGGTACTTACAGTGGAAACTCAGGCTGACAAGGATGATTTGTGCCAGTAGGAGCGCCAGGGAGAGGAGACCCAGGCTGAGGGCTGCCCAGAGCCAGGGCAGGCGCACTTGCTGCTGAGGAGCTGAGAAAAGGAGTTAACAAACACCGGGGTGGGGGGGAGGAGGGAGAGTTTGGAGGGAGCAGTGGGGAACCTTGAGCCAGGAAATGTCTGTGAATCCCAGGTGGGATGCCAGGAGGCAGTGGGGGAGCCTGGAAAAGTGGGGAAGAACCTGTTTGCAGCAGCTCAATTGTCCTAGAAATTATCTCCCTGCACGAAATGCTTGGTGGGGAGAGGAGAGGTAAAGTGTCTGTGCTGTGGCATGGGGGTGCAGTGGACATTCCCTGACTTTGAGCCCCTACTGGCCCCCACCCCAAGACCAGGCAGTCTGCAACAGTGCTGGAGAGGAGCTGTTTGAGAGAGGACACCCAAAAAGAGTCAGTAGGGGGAGCGGGACTGGGAGGACACTTCTGGGGAAGGCAAGGGGCTGCAGGAGGGCAGGGAACCCACTGAGAGAGTTGGGGAGCCATTACCTGGTGTGGGGGGAAAGCGCAGGTCGGCATACATGACACCCTCTTCCATGCCTTCCTTGGTCTCCTGCTCTGCAGCCCACAGGGGCAGCGACAGCCCTTTCCCTCTCAGACGGGCGTGATGCAAAATGGAAAGTGTCACTTCCTGGTGGGGTCCCCAGAGGCACCACCTGGCACAAAACCCGGGGGGCTGGTGGGGCTGCCAGACACTTGGGGCGAGGGGCAGCCCTGTTGAGGCCAGCATCCCGGCATCCCAGCAGGAGGGAAGCGCACGCTCCTGGCTGTGGGGCTGCAGGCAGTGGGAATGGCTGCTGGCTCAGGCAGGCAGCCAGGGCTGGGCTAGACAGCCACGTCATGGAGTTGTGAAGGACCTGAAAGGTCATCTCGTCCCGAGCCCCCTGCCAAGGACAGGGATAGATACCCTCCACTAGACCAGGGTGCTCAGAGCCCCATCCAACCTGACTTTGAACACTCCCAGGGATGGAGAACCACCCTTCCCTGGATAACCTCTGCCAGTGCCTCACGACTTTCACCATAGTTTCTTCCTAAAGCAAGAAAAGTCATATGGGAAGCAGCTGAGGTCACTTTGTTTGTTCAAGCCTGGAGAAAAGGAGACTGTGGGGAGACCTCATCACAGTCTACAAGAGGAAGCAGAGGGGCAGACACTGATCTCTTCTCTCTGGTGACCAGTGACAGGTGCCAGGAAGGGTTTAGGTTATTATTATTATATTAGGGAAAGGCTTATATTAGGTTATTATTATTATTATTATTATTATTATTATTATTATTATTATTATTATTGTTATTATTATTGTCATTATTATTATTATTACTACTACTACAACTACTACTACTACTATTATTGTTGTTGTTGTTTTGTTGTTTTTGGTTTTGTTGTTATTCTTATTATTGTTATTATTGTTATTATTGTTATTATTGTTATTATTGTTATTATTGTTATTATTGTTATTATTATATTAGGGAAAGGTTTCTCACCCAGAGGGTGGTTGGGCTCTGGAACAGGATTCCCAGGGAAGTGATCACAGCACCAAATCCGACAGAGTTCAGGAAGTATTTGGACAATGTTCTCAGGCACACAGGGGGATTGTTGGGGGTGTCCTGTGCAAAGAGTTGGACTTTGATGATCCCAGCGTGTCCCCTCCATTTCAGGAAATTCTGTGATTATGCGATGAATATCTAAGCTAAACCTGCCCGCTGACAGTCTGAAGCCATTCCTCCTTCTCCTATCACTACACACCCTTGCAAAATGTCCCACTCCATCTCTCTTTAGTCCTTCTGGTACTGTAAAGCTGCTTAAGGTCTCCCCAGAACCGTCTCTTCTCCAGGTTGAACAAGCGTGGCTCTCTCGGTCTGATCTGGGCTAGGGACTGCAAGGGAAGGCTGGGTATCCTTGGGGCACAGGACACATTCCCTTGCCCCTCTTCTAAGGAGCAAGGCCACGGGGTGTTTGCTTAAAGCTCCTTTTTTTGCACGGGGCTGCAGCTGCATCTCAGCCCTGGAAAACGGGAGGGTTGGGGTGCTCCTTCCCCTGCCTCAGCCTCCGTGATGCCGAGATGGCCACCCGTGCCGATCCCTCGTTCGGGGGAGCGGCAGAGAGCCCGGGAGCCGGCGGGCAGGCACCGAGCCCGCTCCGAGCGGCGGCTCTCCCTGCGGGAGGATATCTCGCCCCGGACTACGTTTCCCAGCGGCTCCTCCCGGGGCTGCACATGCTCGATGCGGCTCCGGGCGCCTCCCGGCAGCTCCCGGCGCGGCGCCCGCTGCGGCGCAAGGCCGGTCCGTGCGGCTCCCGGCGCGGCTCCCGGCGCGGCTCCTGGTGTGACCGGCGCGGATCCCGGGGCAGCCACCGGGCCGGCTCCCGGCGGTTCCCTGTGCAGCTCCCGGCGCGGTTCCCGGAGCGCCTCCCGGCGGGGCATCCTCCCGGTGCGCCCTCGGGAGCGCCCGGCCGAGCCCCGCCGCCGGCCCCGGCCCGAGCCATCCCCGCCTCGGGCCGGCAGCATGCCCCGCGGGCGAGCCTGGACGCAGGCGGAGGTCAGCAGCCTGCTGTCGCTGGTGGGGGGCTCGGGGGAGGCCGCGCTGCTCATGGCCTCCACGTCGCGACCCAACGAGGCGCTCTGGCGGGAGATCTCCCGGGGTCTGGCGGCGGCCGGCTACGGGCGCAGCGTGGCCCAGTGCCGCTCCAAGTGGAAGGCGCTCAAGCAGGCTTTCCACTCGGAGCGGGAGACGCGCCGCAGGGCAGGACAGCACTCGCCCCGGCTGCCGCCGCACTACCGAGCCATGAAGAGCATCTGGAAGGCGGCCGGGCGGCCCGTCTTTGGCGAGCGGAGGATGCCAGGTGGGTGCCGGGTCGGGCGTGTGGGCTTAGCAGGGTGGCTGGATGTGGGGTGCTGGTGGAGCGCCGGTGCTGCGTGGACACCCAGGGTTTGTTGATGGTCTTTCTCTTCCCCTAGACGTGGTGAAGCTGCCCTCCAGAAGGCGCAGGTCAGCCCTTGCCACACGCTCTCCATCCTCACCAGAGCCACCAGGTACCCGTGGGCTCAGGCAGCTGGAGTGGGGCTTGTCCTGGCTGTGAGGTGGTGGACACCCCTGTTGCTCCAGTTACTGAAGCTCCTTTCTGCACCCCTTCACCTCCTTCTGCAGAGCACGGCGTTGGCGGGGACACCCCCAGGACGCTGCTGTCACCGGTGCTGCCGTGTGCGAAGGACGAGCCAGAGAGTCGTAAGTACTGAGCTGCCCTGCTGCACCAAGCTGCGTGGCCATGCCTCCAGCCCAAGACCATGCCAACATGATGGGAATGGGAGGCTGAGAGGATCACGGGATCCATCACATGCCCCTCAGCGGGGATGGTCAACGATGGGTGTGTTTGGACTTCTGTCTCCACAGGCTTTGGCTCCAAACCAGCCCCAGAGCATGTGGGGATGGGGATGGCTGGGATTGGGCAGGAGGGGGTCCCAGCCTGAGGGCATGGCAAGGCTGCTGTCTGCCCTGTGGCAGATCATGAGGCAAGAGGTCTGGAAGGGGCAGTGGCCCTGATACAGCGCAGGGATCTCATGGCTGGTGGCATTGCAGGGCATGTGACTCCATTCCTTCAGCAGCTCCTGGCTCCTCATTGGCACAGTAACCCCATAAAGCTTCAGATGAGTTTGGGCTATGTGTAAGGACAGAGCTGCTTGAAGCTCCCCTGCCCTTCAGCCCACCCACATGTGTAACCTGCAGACCCCTCACTGTTCTCACTCCTGGGGATTTGGCACTGAGGTGATGCAGGATACATCCCTGAGTCTGGTTTGCTTGGGCGCCCCAGCCATCTTCCCACACTGGGTAACTACCTTCTGTCTCCCCAAATTCCCCCTGCAGTTCCAAGTGGATGTGGGATTCTCCTTCTCTTCCAGTCCTAGTCTGTTGTGTAGCGTTGCTGCGCGCTGCTCCGCCGCTGCTGCCTTCCAGCCCAGAGGTGGCTGCATTGCAGTGGTGGGTGAGTGACTCCTGCTTTTGTACCTAGCTCTGAGGTGCTTCGGGGCCCTGCAGGGCGCTCTGAGCTGTGCTAGGGCATGTCAGGCTGAGGGGCTGGCCGGGGCAAGCCGGGCAGGCCCCAGGCTGGTGGTGATCCACCAGCAGGTCCCTTCAGAAGGCGTATCTCTCCTCTCTGCTTTCTCCCAGCAGCTGGTGGGGAACACATTGCTGGAGTGCCACCCACACCCCCTGCCATGCCACGTAAGGCTTTCCTTGCCCTGCTCAGCCCAGTAAACCCCCTCAGCCCCACAAGCAGGGTCTGATATGGTTCTCGTTGCAGACACCGCTTGCTGCTTCTCTCCCCTCTCCCAGCTGGGTGAGTACCATGCCCCAGCTACCATGCTTGTGTGTCCTGGGGCAAGAGGTGGCTGCAGCTCACAGGCTGTGGCTGCAGCTCACAGGCCGTGTCTGCTCTCCTTCCAGGCTGTCACACTGACCTGAAGCAGGAAGGAGCTGAGGGAAAGGCCAGTAAGTGTTTGCAGCTTTGAGCAAGTCCTCGTGCTCCAGGGCACAGCTCCGTCCTGCCAGTGAGAAGGGCACAGGCTCTGGGAGGCAGTGAGGCAGTGCCTTCCCAGGCCTCTGTCGTAGTAAGGCTAAATTTGGGGCTTGGGTGTCTCCATCACTCTTGTTGTTTGCTCCATGCCAAGCTTTCGTGGCAGGTTTTCCTGGTGAGACGTCCCTGGGGATGGGAAGAGGAAACCGAGTGCTGCCGCTGGCTGCTGCAGCCACAGGCTCCCACGGGACAGCAGCCATGAGTGAGCAGCCAGCAGCAGGTGAAGATGCATCAGACACAAGCCTGCATGGTGGGTGCTCCCTGCAGCTTCACAGCAGCCTCACAGGGAGCTCTCGGGGCCGTGGTGAGGTGCCACTGACCCCTCTCTCACTGCAGGGTCTGGCGTGGCAGGCTTGCTCCAGAATGTCCAGCAGCTGCTGGTGCAGATCCTGCAGACATCCCGGCAGCAGCAGGCTCTGCTGGAGAGCCTGGCCAGTGACACTGTCTCCCACCTCCACCTCCTCTCCCACAGCCTCGTGCAGGTGGGCGAGACCCTGCACCAACTCCTGCTCCGGCCACAGACCCATCCTGGCCCCATTGGCCACTATGTCCCCCACGTGCCCCTTTTTGAGGGTGGCTCTGGAGTGCCCTGCTCCCCTGGTGCTCCCCACACTTCCCCGGGTCACAAAGAGCCTCAGATGTCCCCTGATGCCAGGTGCATCCCCCCCTGAGTGCCCCATCACTGGCCCCAGGAGCAACAGCTTTGCTACCGAGCCATGGCACAAATCTTTATATCAGAGGTTCCAGATATTTTGAAAGTTTATACTAGAGAGACATTTTAATAAAATTAAAAATAGCTTTTCTACCAGCGATGGCAACTGACCAATTCTTTCCCCCTCTCTGGGGAATGTTCCCCTTCTCACTTTCGAGATGAGCATGAGGGGAACTCAGCTATTTACAGACTCAGAGAAACTCCCAGCCCACACAGCACGGGGCAGATGTACTTCTTCTGCCCTTTACAGCAGCGCCTGGGGTGGGCATCACGCCTTCCTGGGAGATGTGCTGCTGTCTGTGGAGCAGAGCAGGGCCACTGCCAGGAGGGGAGGCCAGGAAGCCCAGGATGCATCCTTCTCCAAGGGAGGAGGCTGGGGTGGGTGATGCTGTGCTGGGGAAGCAGCATGTGCAGCAGCACGGTCCCTTAGTGTCCAGGTCCTTGGCAGGTTTCTTCCAGGGGACAATCTGGGGCTTTCACAGCCGGTACTGTGGGCTTGCCACACGCTCTAGTGAGGCCCTCCTGCTCCGGGAGGGATCCTCCTGCTTCAGTGCATGGATATCAGGTAGCAGTAGCTGCAGACATACCATGGCACGTGCCTAGAGAAGGGACCTCTGACTGTCACCTGGACCCCACCACATTCACCAGTTTGTGCACAACCTCCATGGGGCAATGTGCTCTCTGCCTCCAGAATCTCTTGGCCACATCCAGGGAGAGGAAGTGTACGTCGTGTAGACATCATGAAAATGGTCACACCATGCCAGATGCCACGTGCTGGAGGGCTGGCAGGTAGCTGCCGCTTCTCCCAGAGGAGGAGGGAGACCGTGTAGAGGCCAGTCCATGCCAGATGATCAAACCCAGCTGGGGAAGTGGGCAGGCAGTCGTGTTGAAGCAGTTGTTATCCCATCCTGAGGATGTGTGGGTGATGGATCCGCTCATCGCTGCCTGTCTGCCATGCATGACCTTCAGGGTGAGGTTGCAGTACGTGTCCCTGTAGCTCTCCAAGTAGATGTCCATGAACTCCTACCCTTTCTACTGCACATCCTCGCCCGTTGCCTGCTCCACCATCTTCCAGGAGCTTGCCGAGGCACCCCACATCCTCCAGGTGCACACAGCACTGGCTGGGGCACCCCACGTGTGGCCAAGCTGTGGAGAGAGACCAGGGGCACAGTCACAGGGCCCAACAGCAAAGTGACAGGGAAATAGCAGGTACCACAGCAGCAGTGAGCAACAACATCACAGCCCAGACATCATCTAGCAGGGGAGAAACATGGGCAGGTAAGTGCTGGAAAGGCCCGTGACACCCCCAGCACTGTCCCTCATCCCATACCAGCTGTGCACCCTGGGTCGGAGAGAAAGGCATGCCACAGAGGCCTCGTGATGCAGTGGGCAGGGAGCTGGGGTCTGTGGGGGCTGCTGGGGGCAGGGCCAGCCCTGGTGGGCATGATGCTCCCACCACTGCACACAAAACATCCTCTGTGCACACAAGCAGGAGCAGAAACCACCTGGCTGCTGGCCAGCAGCTCTGGCCCCAAGCCTCACAGTGATGGGGCCACTGCCTGCAAACATCTCTGCCCCGGATTTCCCTTCCTGGAGCCTGTCAGGGCAGGCAAAGAGAAGAGGAAGGTGGGATCTCCCTGAGCCCTGCTGCTTGCACTGGTGAAGTTGCAGTGGCTGGGCTGTGGTTGTCCATGCTCCACAGTGACCTTGCTGTGTTCCCCATCATTCTGCTGATTGCCCTGTCGTGCTCCCAGTCAGCCTGCTGTGATCCCCTTCATCCCACCACACTCCCCAACACTCTGGCCTGCTCCCTGCCATTTTGCCATGCTCCTCACTTGAGTCTACACCTGCTCCTTCCAGCCCTGGGGCACCACAGCACCCATCCCTCAGCTCTGGGGTGCTGGGGCAGTGGGGTGGGCTGTCCCCTCTCCGTTCAGGAGGTGAAGGGCGGTGAGGGGTGCTCTGAGACGGGGCTGCAGGAGGAGGCTGGCTGCTGAGGAGGGTGGTGCTGCAGCAAGGACTGGGGATGCGGCGTGTCCTGGGGACTGCAGGTGCATGGGATAACACCGGAGGTACAAGCGGGACATAGCGATGTGGGGTGCTGGGAACCGGGATTTCAACGGAGTGGTGAGAAACGGGGTGCAATGAGGGGCGCAGTGAGGCTGCAGCCAGGGGTGCATTGAAGGGGGCAGTGGGAGGAACATTGGGGTGCAGGGGGGCAGTGAGCGGTGCAGGGGCTGCAGTGAGGTGCAGGGAGTGGCACGGGAGGGTGCAGGGGTGCAGTGAGGGGTGCATTGAAGGGGGCAGTGGGAGGAATATTGGGGTGCAGGGGTGCAGTGAGAGGCCCAGGGGCTGCAGTGAGGTGCAGGGGTGCAGTGAGAGGCCCAGGGGCTGCAGTGAGGTGCAGGGAGTGGCACGGGAGGGTGCAGGGGTGCAGTGAGCGGCGCAGGGGCTGCAGTGAGGTGCAGGGAGTGGCACGGGAGGGTGCAGGGGTGCAGTGAGCGGCGCAGGGGCTGCAGTGAGGTGCAGGGAGTGGCACGGGAGGGTGCCGGCGCCGCAGGGCGAGCCGAGGGCAGAGCGACCGCAGCGATCGCACTCCGGGCTCCACGCCCGTGCGGGGCGCGGCCTGGCTGGAGTGACAGCTCAGCGGCCAATAAGAACTGAGAAAGGAGAGGGTGGGCGGGCCTGACAGCGCACGCCACCCAATGGTAGAGGCCGTAACGAGCCCGGGGGCGGGGCGAGGGCGGGGCTCCATGACGTCACGGGGGCAGCCCCGTTCGGGGGTCGGGGCAGCCCCGGGCTCTGCGGGGCGCGGACCACGGCCCGGCCCGAGGGGCTGCGGCATGGCCGCCCCCGCACGGTGCCCCCGCGCCGAGGGCTGACCCGCCGCCTCGCCCCTGCGGGCTCTGCCCCACTGCCCGCCGCCCGGTGTCCTGCCAGGCCGGGCTGTGGCACTCGCACGGCGCCCTGTGCTCCAGCCTCTGCCCGCAAAGCATCCCATGCCCCGGGCTCGAGCGGTGGGGCAGGGCTGGAGCACAGGGAGCACACACATTCTCTTCCCAGCGAGCCCCGAGTCCTGGGAACTGCAGCTTGCAGTTCCGGCAAGCGCGTCGGGCTGGCACAAGGGGATGCAGGTGTGGAAGGGTCTGAGATCGACACAGCCATCGCCTTTCCCGGGGGTCTCCATCACAAGCCCTGCCTGGTGAGACCCTCCCCCTCCAGGCACATGTGATGTGTCTGCACTTGCAGGGCTGCGGTGGCAGCCAGGAGAACACAGGGAAAAAGGGTGGGCCACTTCTGAGGCACGCAAGATCTTCTCCAGGCTAGAAATACAAGTGAAAGCACCAGCATGTCTCATCAGGATTTCAGTGTTGCTGTTTAGTGGCCCAAGGACCTTGAGGATGCTGCTCTGGGCATCCAACTCCTTCTGCCTCTGTCACACACAGCAGCTTGCAACAGGGCAGCTGAAACAAAACAGCCAACAGCCAGGGCAGGCAGGATGGATCCCCGCGGCAGTGGAGGCTTGGGGGGAGGATTTTTCCTTGTTTTTAACCCATTCTGGAGCCAGTCAAAACTGTACCACTCTCCTGATCCTCTCCCTCCTTCATGGCCTGCCCCATGTCCAGGGCATATGTTCAAGGTCTAGAAGAATTGGAATAATAAAGTTGTTACCTGCCAGTGGCAGCAAGCTCTTTGCCCCTGTACCTCGCTCCCAGCCAACACGCTGTAACCTGGGATGCTCTGTGCCTACTTGAGCCCAGTCCCATCTCACAAACCTGGGGTAGAGCCACTGTGACCCAGATGACTGCCCTGAGAGCAGCTTTGGGCTGTGTCTGTCACAAACCTGGGGTACAGCCACTGTGACCCAGATGACTGCCCTGAGAGCAGCTTTGGGCTGTGTCTGTCACAAACCTGGGGTACAGCCAGTGAGACCCAGATGACTGCCCTGAGAGCAGCTTTGGGCTGTGTCTGTCACAACCCTGGGGTACAGCCAGTGAGACCCAGATGACTGCCCTGAGAGCAGCTTTGGGCTGCTAAAAGTTGAACGTTCAGTCCTGTGTCTTCCCCACTGCATCAGCCACTTCTTCTCTTTCCTGTCCCAAAGAGTGCCCCAAGGCCTGGGGTGACCTGGAGAGGGGTACACAGAACTCCTGGCCACAGCTCACCCTGCAGCCCAGCTCCAATGGCCACCCTGATAAAGCCCCTGGCCACAGCAAAAGCACGAGGTATTGGCATTAGAACAGGACAGGATCTTGAGCCTCCTCTTGTTAATCTCCAAATATTGAGGGAGAGGTTTAGCATGGTGGGTGTGACTCCCACCAGCACCCTGTGCACACACTGCCCCTCTGTGCTCATGCCTCTCTCTGTGCCAGTGGTCGGTGTTCACACCTCAGTCCTCTCTCCCAGGCTACTGGATGCCCAACCTGCTGCCAGGGATGGGCCTGCAGCCACTCGGGGAGGGTGTCCGGAGGGATGGATGCCACTGGGTTCTCAGGCAACCCAGCTGGCCTTTGGCCCCTTCTCTCTTGCACTTTCTCTTAAAAACATAATGTTTTCCAATGGAAATAGAATCACTTTCATCGGCAGCTCTTAGTTCTTCATATGTGGAACAGAAGGCAATGACAGAGTGGTCAGGCTCATGGGCATGACCTGAAGGTCTCACACACCACAAAACAGCACCCGGAATCTCCCCCACCAAACAACCATCCAGATGGGATGCAGCACAGCATGGATTAGCCAGAGGTATAGTTCCAAAATCCAGAATTTAAGTGAAGCAGGAGAGGGTGTCTAAGGACAAGGAGAGGAAGCTGCTTTGATGTGTATCAGGATGTTTATCTTGATATCAAAAGCCCTAGTTCTCTTTTTTAATGAAGTGGCTCCTCCCTTTGAAGTGGATCCTCCCGTGCTGTGCACGGCTGTGGCTCAGGGACATCCGGCACAGACTTCACCCTCCTCAAATGTTAATATTTCTCTTGTGATTTGCCTGAAAACTGTGAGACCAAAGTGAAAGCTCAGGGATGAGAGCAGCCAAGCTG